TTTTTTTTTTAAGTTTTTTATAGTTTATTCTCTTGTGAAAAATTTGCACAATCACTGCAGATAAAGTCATTGCAGAATCTTTACTCCTTCTGCTTTTTTTTTCCTGGCAGCTGGTCTGTCCGGGGATTTGAACCCTTGACCTGGGTGTCATAACACTGCTGTCTAACCATTTTTGCCGGCACCAACATTGGCCTTTGCAGTCCCGCTGACTTTCTTCATTCTGTTCTTGCGTTCCTTTCATTGTTTTCTTCAGGTGTTTTTTTCTCATACAGGCCATGTGTTGCAAGTCTGTATTTGGGTTCATTTTTCTTTGCATAACCCAAGGAATTGTAAATCATGCCAAAGCCAGTTGTCTTGCCACCACCAAAATAGGTCTGTGACTTTTGTCTTTATTCTTCGGTTGCTGACATGTGTGTTCAATTTAAGGCACCGGAGTTTCAGTTGGCCACTGGGAGGCCTTCGTCCCCTGTAGTTCTGTGTGTGTCTTCCAGCTCTGTGTGGGGCTTTGGGGTCTCCTCCCAGCCTCAGTGGGAGGGGACAGTCTCCTCTCTCTTGCCACTCCTGGCCCAGGCAGCTACTTGCAGTTTCTGTCTCCTCCAGGCTAGAAATCAGGGGAGGGGCTGGCAATTCTCACTTAACCAGTGTTGCTCTAAGATGACTTGCTGTCTGGTCCTGCCAGGGGTTAGAATGACCCTCTTGGGCAGGGTTTGACAGCAGTGCACCCACCTGCCCTCGGAGGATCTGCCCCAGCTGTGTCCTCCGGGGTCGTGCTCTCCTCTGACCCACCCTGATCTCCTTCCTCAGTCCCTGAACCGTGGCGCTGTCCTCACCTTCTCTCTGTTGAATGCTCCGTCCTGTTGCACTTCCCCAAACCTTTCCTACCGCCCCGCACTTGGCCCTCAACTGGCCCATAGATGCCCCCACACATCTGCTACCCCAACGATCTGGAGATATTGCTGTGGTGGAGCTGCTGGCCCGTCCCACCTTAGTTTTGAGGTTTTCCAGGCTAGAGGCAGAATGCTGTGGCACTGGTGACCAGCTTGGGAAGGCGTCTTCTGCTTGGCTCCACTCACCGCTGTCAGTCTCAAGCTGCAGGCGTGGCTCGCAGAGCGTGGGGATGGGTGACTGTCTTGGTTGGGGTGGGCAGGGGGAAGCCCTCTCCCCTCTGTGCTCCATGTGTGGTGTGGGGTGGGACCCACAGCGCCGATCTCTCTAGAGTTCCTCTCCCCAGACCCCTCCTCCATGCTTCTCATGCTGAGATCCGTTGCTATCCTACATATGGGGAAATTTGTGAAAACCACTTTTTTTGGGGGGGTGGGGTTTGTTTTTGTTAGTTTTTCTTTTTTTGTTAACTTCTTTAAAGATTTGTCTCTTGGGCCGGCCCATGGCTCACTCAGGAGAGTGCGGTGCTGATAACACCAAGGCCACGGGTTTNAAAAAAAAAAAAAAAAAAAAAAAAAAAACAGAACAAAACAAAGAGAAACCACTCAACCAATCACAAAGTTAAAAATACTGTGCTTGATCAGCAGAGCTAGCATTGCATATGTCATATGAGATATCAATTCAACGTTGCTTTTCTTACTTTTGAACAAAGTATCCATACTCAGAATCTATTCAGAGAGGAATTAGTATATAAAAGAAATTGATACCACTTAAAGACTGGATAGTTAACAGCCTATCTTTCACTTTTGCATATGCTAGCCCTGTGAAATAAAGCTTATAAGCAATATCCTAAAAGTAAAGTTATTCCAGAAAAATATTACTCTGAACGTTGAATCTTTATTGCAATTTTTTGATCTAGTATATTCTGGCAAAAATGATACATCCTTCAGCAAATCTGCTTAATAAAGTGATAAGTAAGTTTCGCCTATGGTTCTATGGGACGGTGGGGTTCCTGTTCTGCTCACTGAATGTATCATGCTTTGCCACCCACTTGTACTGTTTTGCCAACCAAACCGACATAGGTTCCTGAAAAATGCCCTGTAAACAGCAATGGTTATTCTCTCCCCAAACTAATGGGAACGATAATATTTCTAGTGTGCTGGTCACACATTTTATTCTTAAACATCTATCCTCTCCATGTTCACTATTGGGTGGTGGCAGACTTTTTTTTCATAATTCTGTTTTATTTACCTGGATTTTCTAAATTTCCTGTAGCAAACAGTATTATATCTGTATGTTGCTTTGCCTCCCACGTATTTGTCACCCCTTTTCCCCTGGGTGATGGAGCCGCCAAAGATTACTCAAAGCCCATCTGTTTTGAGCAGTGAGAAGCCCCAGAAAGGGGTTAATATCCTAAAACTTCCTCAAGCACGAGGAGTCATTTCTTCCATT